TTTACCATATAAAAAAATGTTTCTTTTGAAGAGAAGAATCTTTTGATACCAAAATCTTGTAAATCTACTGATTAGAATTTGAGATAAGTATCATTACACAGGCAAAAAAATATATGCTTTTTCACTATTGGTATACATAGAAATATACAAAAAAAATAAAAATTACTATTATTAAATATTACTTTTTAAGTAACAAAATTATAGATAATAGGAGGGCAATTATTATTACAAAGTTTTGTATCTATAGCTTTAAAAGTAAGTTCAGGATGACAAGGGTAAATTTTTAGCATAGAAGATATGACCTTAATTATAATTGTCCGGGGAACCAATGATGAGTGCACAAAAGAAGAAACCAACACATTGAAAAGAATCTACACAATTGTGAGTACTGTGGTAAGCAAATTTGTACAAATTTGTACAAAACCTTGCCCTCCGTTAAAGAGTGGAGCACCCTAGATGAAATTCCACCATGTAGGTTTGCTGATACGCACTGGGTAATAAAAAAAAAGGGAATCAACTGGGATAAACCCCTCTAAAGCTAGAGTAGAAGTAAAATAATAAAATAATTCTGCTTAAAAAAATAATCTAAACTATCAGGTACACTATGACCCTACACTAGTTTCCGTAATAAAGACAAAATTTCTGCTAAAACCTCCTTGTTATCTTTAATACCACTTCCACCATTCTTTGGGGATTTCTTTGCCTTCTTCTGAATGGTCAGGTTCTTCAATTCATTATTATTTTTAGAAGCTTTGGTCGAGGATTGTTGTTTATCCTCTGATTACTTACCATATCATTACCTGTTTTACCAGATTTCTTCTTGTTCAGGGTATTTTTAATCTTCGGTTTGATTTGTGCTTTCTTCTTCAAGTTAGGAATAGAGTGTCAACACCATTTCAACTTGTGAGGTAACTGGCAGTTTATCTAAGGCCTTGAGTGTAGTCTCCCAATTCTTAAAATATGCAACCAGTTTTCTCTTGCTTGAATTATTTTCATTAAAAATTCACATGGTTTACGGTCAGCCCACAAGGTAGCTATTGTCATATCCTCCAGAATGTCATGAATAATGGCTTGAAACTTTTCACATTGTTTTCTTTCTCGTAAAGTCCAACTTGCAGGGAACCATCTTACAGGTATACTTCATCCAATAGTTAGTGAATTGGGAAAGGGCAAATGAGGATAGTGCTATCTTGACTCTAAGAGTCTGATACTTGTTTTGTCGTTTAACGGAACACTTGATAGTATTACTCCAAAATTTTAACTCTGCTATAATTTTCTGCAGGTCCCAGATATACAGAATATCATAAACTATTATGTCTCAGATTCGCTCTTACTCATTTCTGATAGCTTCGTATCCTGTCAGTATTTGAGTATAGATGAATTCTTTTCCTTTTAGGAATTTTTGGCTAATGTTTTTGTACCAGGATTTGCTGTTGTTGATTGGTCCTTAACTTGTTTATCATCTGTAACTAAGGTTACTTGCCGAAACCTAGGGGTTTAGGCAAGATGGCGTTTCGCCGAAAAGCGAAATTCTGCCAAAACTATATTAAAGTTATATTAAAAAACTGGCGAAACTTTAGAGAAAGGCGAAACTGCTGAAACTTATTATAAATGCCGAAACTGCCGAAACTCTGCCGAAACTATAATAAATCTATAGTAAAATTTTGACAAAACTAATCGTAGGATTTTGAAGAGATTTAGACAAGCAACCTTATCTGTAACATGTGCCTTTTATTTATCTTTCTTTCAGAAAGTTTCGGGTGTCACAGTTTAATCGACAGGGGTCATTTCTACATCAGGCAGTATTGGAGGCGTTTCATCTACTGGATTTGGTGTTTGTAATCCTTTTTTGTAATCGATTATTCAATGTATTTCATTTTCATCAAGCCCATCTTCAGATGACTCATATATTCCATCATCTGTAACACTATCGTCTATTGCGATTTCACCCATGTCACCAAACATCATGTAGTACTTAGTCGCAAAAGTATTTTAAGACCTGGACGACACATATAGCACTATGGAAAATATTAGTGAGAGGGTGGTATGTTGTATATTTGTAACTTGAGCTTGTAAAGTGAAGTTCTCGGGGTTGGCAGCTTCGCCAAACTTCCTTATCAACAGCTGGCCTTTATCCACTGGCTGTGATGGATTTTTATTAAATAAGTCCTTTAGGAAACCGTCCTGTATAAAAGAACCTAAGAGTTCAGTTACGTTGTAATGGAATAGTTCATTATATCCAGAAACATATTCTAGAATTTGTTCAAACTGTTTTCTACTCTTGTATAGATTCATTTTTAATTATTTGTAATAAAATTTAATAAAGGGGTTATTTTTTAAAAAAATTATTATGCAGAAATTTTTGTAAAAATGTTTTTCAGGAAAGAGTTTTTTCCATACTCCCTTTTATATTATCTAAATAAATTTAAATAAATGAATATATTAAATAAAATAAAAACAATAAAATAATTAAGTTTACCTCGATATTTTGGATGAAAAAAAAAGTAATAAGATAACAAATTGTACCCAACATTTATTAAATTATTTAATAAATGAAATTATCGTGCTCCGCTGTATGATATTGATGATTTGTAATTTAATTTTTTTTTATGCGTAAGTTTAATAATTACAATAAACTATATTTAAGCTATAAACAATACATGTGTTATAATTATTAATTATGGCTATTAGGATTATTATTGAAAATAATAACAGAATTGATAAAAACTTTATCAGCTGTTAATTTCGAAACTAATTCTTCCAAATTTTGACTTTTATTTTCTTGAATTTCATTTAAATCTTTTAATGGCCTTCTTGTAACTTTAATATTACTGTTTGCCTAATTAATAACTTCACGATTATCTAGAAAAAGTTCAATTTTGTTAAATTGATTATCAAAAAATAGAATAAAATTTTAGAATATTACCATTAAGTAATGATTTTGCAACAACGAAATTGTCTGTTGATAAAGTTGATTGTTCCATTGATTTTTCTATAGAAGAAAATTAGAATGCAGGTCATTTATTAATGATTAAAAATTTCAAATTTTTACCTGATCGAATATTATTTTTATTAAAACCAAATGCTTCAACAAGGTTAAAAGCATTATTTCGTTGAATTTCAGTTTCTGGACGCTCATATCTAGCAAGCCCTTGCTCAGACTTATGTCGTGTACTTGCCATACATTCAGAATTTGAAAATCCTCGTCGCTTTAATATTTGTACTAGCGTTTTCCGACCTGAATGGTTACTAATTTTGCGATCATCCACGTTAATTCCGGTTAAGGTAACAATTTTTTTCATAAAGGATTTAATTTCTTTTTCAGACACATGTTGCTTATGATACCATTGTCCATTAAATTCAACTGTATAATATGAAATAAAAAATAATAAAAATTTTGACATTAGATTTGTCAAAAAAAAAAAAAAAAATTTTAATATTTACCTTCACTAATATTGCATGGCTTTAAATAAAAATGTGGATCAGCTTGGGTTGGACGTTTGGTAAAATAATTTTCATACATTTCAATGATACTAGGTATTTCGGGAATGTATAACTTATCACCTTGAGATTCAATATTATTGGCACCGCGTTGATTAGTTTTTGATTTGTAAATGATAACATCAAATCCACCATATTTGTCTTTTCTTCGTATAAAATTTTGAAGCTGCAAATTGAAATGTTCTCCTCCCCTTAACCCTAAAAAAATAGCATTAAAAAAAAAGATCCTATATAATAAACTGGCAGGATCATTGCCAGACATTGCTGGATGATCAAGAATCTGAAGAAGATCATCTTCAGTAAATCCATCAGCACCGTTACGCTCCCCACGACCTTGACTCACAAGACTCTTAACTTTACCATTCAAAATCTGCCATAATTTGTAATATTGATCTTTATCCATAATGTTGATAGGTTTTGAAAGGACAGACTTATTATTCAAATGTCTATTTATTGCAAACATGCAACTATTAACTGAAGAAACATGATATTCAGAACCATCTTTTTTTCTCATTGCATGAACAAATCTACAAAGCTGATCCTCTAATTCTTCTTTTGTATCAACTTCCTCAATCAATCCTTGATAATTAACATCTGTTCTAAATTTTTCCAAAGCTCGTATCCAATTTGAAGTTGAATAATCAGTATTTTTACATCGGCTACTATCAATAAGATTGCGAAGTTCATCATCAGTAGGCTTTTTATAAGTAAAGTTCACCTTTAATTTCTTACAAGGTCGTTTATCTTTGTTATCTTGCATCTTTAAAATATTAATAGGAGAGAAATGAAATTGGATAAAGAAAAAAAATGATAAAAGCTTAATTTATGAGTTTAATTCGAGTTTAATAAAAGTTTAAATAAAACATCATAATATCACATGATAATATCATTATTGTGCTTGCGTTGATAAATATACAATTATTAACCAATGCTGCATTCTAATTGGACAGATTTGGCCACTACGTGGCCAAATCCTTACCAATCATCTGCTAGCATTAGTTAATAATTGTAATATTAATCGCTACAAGCACTATAATTTATAATTATTTTTCTATCTTTCAAATTGTTAAAATCTAAATCCAAATAATTTGAAATTTGCTTAATTGCAACTGCTATCTTAATTAATTCCATAAATATTGATGCCTTTTAAGAATTTAAATTATGATATAAATATTAATTATAGTTTTTATTTTAAATGTTTAATATTAACTTACATTTTTAAAATCTTATACAGTAGACCATTTTGTTTTTATAGATGTTCTTAAACCACCTTCTTTTAGAAAGTTATAATTGTTTGACATTTTTTAAATGTGTTTTTTGCAAAATCCAATTTGACAATATGATGTGCCATACAGCGTATTAATAAAATATAAATACCACAGCTGCAAATTTTTTTGGTCCAATTGTAGTCAAAATATTTTCAATTTCAGTAGCATTAAAAGATCCAGTATGAGAATCAACTGATATATCTTTTAAAGTATGAATATATTGCCTTTTACCTGGAGTAATTATTATAAAGCAGTTTCTTTATTCAAAATAGTTGTTGAAAGTAACAATCTTTTAAAAGGATTATAGGCAAAACAAAGACTCTAGACAAAATCTATAAAATAAGGATGATTAACAGTTGAGAATGGGATTCTATTAATGCTTGATTAATTCTATCCTTTTTATCTGCATCAATTTCAGCTGATGAATCTGTATCTAATTTTTGTTTTCTATTTGTAGATGTAGATCCAATTGCTAACATCTCCATATATTCTGATTTAATAGCTAGTGGCACTTCCTTACAATATAATGCTAAATGTGATTTTAAAATTTCTGGTCTTCTTCTAGACCATGTTTGTGTGCAGTAATGGCATTTAGCTGTATAATGACCACTACCCAATGGTTCTTTAATATAATGGTTCCAAATATGTGATTCTTTACAACCTCTTTTGACTTCTGAAACTGTTGAACTCATTTTTACAGCTACAGAGATTATGTAAAAAAAATAGGATTAATTCTTAAAAAAAAGATTATCAGAAATCAAAATCAAAAGTCATGTTACCTCTATTTATTGTAAAAATTTATGTAACATAAAAATATTTTATTTTCGAAAATTTTTTTACAAAATTAACAATTTACTGTTGATTAAAATAAAAAAAGTAAAATTTTTATTTATCAATAATCTATTATCACGAAGATAAAATATTACTTGTTGTCAATATTTGATAAATGATAGAAGTAAAATTAATTAATGACATTTCTTGAATATAAATATCAAATAACTTCCTCCTTCTTATAAACAAATGTAAAGAAAACCCTCCCACTTACTAAAAGTCCAGAAAATCTGTTAAAAACGTTCCTAAAAAAAAGAAAGGTAAAAAAAAATGAAGTTAATATCATTCCTTAAAAATAAATATTCACAAAAACCCTCTTCCACTTACCAGAAAGTCTAAAAAATCTGCCAGGACCGTTTCTAAAAAAAAAAGAAAGAAGTAACAAATTTAATATCATTTCTTAAAAATAAACATCTAAGAAAGCTCTCCCACTTACCAGAAAATCCAAAAAGTTCGCCAGAATCATTCCTAAAAAAGAAGAAAAAAGAAATGAAGTTACTATCATTTCTTAGAAATAAGTGTCAAAGAAAACCCTTCTCCCATTACCAAAAAGTCCAGGAAATCCACTGACCATTCCTAAAAAAGAAAGATGAAGTCAATGTTATTTCTTATTTCTTAATAATATATGTTAAGAAATTCCTTCCTATAATTACCAGAAAATTCTGAACCACTAGCCATCAGGATGGTTCTTAAAAAAAAAAATGATGTTACTGTCATTTCTTAAATACCAATGAAAACCTTTTTTTCACTTACCAAAAAGTTCTAGAGGTCCAAATAAATACTAAAGAAATCCTTTCCACCACTTACCAGAAATTTTCAGAAAGTCTGTCAGAAAAAAAAAATTTTTTATTATAAAAAAAAAAGTTACACAAGTAACACTTACAGATATAAATTTACGTTATAAATTATGGCGTTATGGTGCTACAACATTTACAATTTACAGCTTTTCATTATGTCATTATATCATGTGCCATAACCATAAAAATAATTCTGATAGCACCTATAGGTCATGGTTATTATTCTTAAAAGCTTTCATTGGGGATTGGGGATTGTTATTACTTACCGAGCTTTACCTGCTTTACCAGATTTCTTCTTGTCTGAGGTATTTTTAGCCTTTGGTTTCAAATGTGCTTTCTTCAAGTTAGGGATGTAGGGATGGAGTGTTGACACCATTTCAACTCCTTACCTGACAGCGAGGTAACTGGTGGCATATCTAAGGCCTTGAGTGTGGTCTCCTTCCTTTGCTTGTCTGAATTATTTTAAATGTGCTAGCACTGTTTACGGTTAGTCCACAAGGTAGCCATTGTCATTTCCTCTGGAATGTTGGCTTGGAACTTTTCATGTTGTTTTCTTTCTCTTAAGTCCAACTTGCGGGAAACCATCTCACAGGTATACCTCCCAGATCTCCCAAATCTGTCATCCAATATTTATTAAACTGGAAAAGGGCAAATGAGGATAGTGCTATCTTGACTCTAAAAGTCTGCTAAATACAGGATATCGTAAACTATAATGTCTCAGATTCGCTCCTGCTCCTCTCTGACAGCTTTGTATCCAGTCAGTATTTGAGTAGCCTCAGGTTCAGATGATTTCTTTTCCTTTTGAAAATTTTTGGCTAATGTTTTTGCGCCATTGTTGATTGGTGCTTGACTTGTTTATCATCTGTAACATGTGCCTTTTGTTTATCTTTCTTCTGGTATTACAGTTTGATCAACAGGAGTCATTTCCACATCAGGCAGTATTGGAGGCATTTCAAGTACTGAATTTGGTGTATATGATTCTAAATTGTCGATTAATCAATCTAATTCATCATCATCAAGCTCTTCTTAAGACCTGGACGAAACATATAATGCTATAGAAAATATCAGTGAGAGGGTGGTAAGTTGTATATTCATAGCTTGAGTGTAAAGTGAAGTTTGCAGGGTTGGCAGCATTGCCAAACTTATCTATCAGTAACTGGGCTTTATCCTTAGCTACCGATGGGTTTTTTTCAAATAAGTTCTTGAGGAAACTGTCCTCTATAAACGAACTTAAGTGTTGTATTATAGTTTGGTAAAAAATAAGGTTATATTCTGAAATGAACTCTGCATGTTGTGTTATTTATCACCAGTGTAAACTGTCATATAGGGGACCATACACTACACATCTCCTTGACCCTACACCACTCATCTCTATAGTACTCATTTTCCCAATGTCTATGTCCTAAAGACTTGTCAAGTAGTCTCTGTAACCCATTATTTTGATTTATTTGATCCACACCAATGGATTGCAATTCATTTTAAATGATTTCATCAAGGTTTCGAGTTGCTGCATCAAAGATATAATCTATATCTTGTGGAATTGGTATCCTATACTGATCAAAAAATAATTGTATTACAGCAAGACAATCAGATACAGTTTGCCAACAGGTTAGAATTTCATTGATAGGATTAAAAGGATCCATTCACTTGCTTTTTTTACATACAGATACTTCTTGAATGTGTTTTTTGAGTTTGTCTACTGTCTTCAAGTTGAATAATACGTTCATCCTAGATAACAAGTGCCTCTTTCTTTAACTCTAGATAAGTATAACATTTTTCAAGTTCAACTAAGGTGGACTGGCACTCTGCCTCAACTACCTCACATGAGACAAGATTTTTTTCAAAATAGGATGAGTTTGATGATGATGATGATTTGATAAGGATCAATAAAATTAGGATTACAAACACAAAATCTAGTAGATGATACGCCTCCAATACTGACTTATGTGAAAATGGCCTCTGCTGATCAAACTGTGATACCCGAAACATTTTGGAAGGATAAACAAAAATCAAAAGCACGTGTTACAGCTGATAAACAAGCAAAACCTAATGTGCCAAAAAGTCACAAAATGATAAGAAATCACCAGAACCTGAGATTACTCAAATACTGACAGGATACGAAGTTGTCAAAAAGGAGCAAGAGTGAATCTGAGACATTATAATCTATGATATCCCGTATACCTGAGACTTGCCAAAAATTTTAGCAGAGTTAAAACTATGGTAATACTATCAAGCTGTTGGTTAAACACCAGACATACATAACTAAAACTGTTATAGCCAGATTTTAAAATACCAATAATCATTGAAAATAGAATTACACTATAATGATGATAAAAATTCGCAAATAAAAATGTTGATTTGATTTGCCCTCTTGCATCAAGTTCACGTTCAAGAATTTCTGTTATTTGTTGATAAATATTTAGGAAATTTCCATACTGTCATATGTTTTAGTGATCTATGTGAACATGTGGTCTTTTTATAAATTGTACTTCTCCTCTTTTTTCTTGAGTTGCTGGACCTGAACCTGCTTTTCCTATTTCAACTCTTGGATGAGAAAATGAGGTCCTAGGGGGAGGCAAATTTTCCATATAGACAAACCATTCAGCATTAGTCTGTAGAGATTTACTTTTAACTCCAGGTCCTGCTAGCCAGTTTGCTAGTTTATCAATTGATATGGAAGTAGTTGCTGGTGTCTTAATTGCTGGTACTTTATGCATTTTTTCAACCTCTTTTTCCAGTTCAATTAAAGGTCTCACCGAATCAGGGTCATACTGAAGAAAATCATGGTACTTTAACTCACATTGCCTTTTACTACTAAGAAAACCAGGATCTTCTAATCCTAAATCTAGAAACCTTTTTCTTAGTTGTGCATCCCATTTATAAATATGCTCTTTTGGTTCAGCTTCAGATACAACTGTTTAAAAGTGTGTGGTCAAGGTTGTCACCATCGTCTCTCTAATATCCTTGCTGACTCTAGGTTGGTAAAGTTGATCCTAGTCCAGTTTTAGTCCTAAGACTTATATCCTACAAACTAAGTCCATATATGATTAGTCCAGGACTTGTGTCTGACCAAGTCCAGTTCTGAACTAGATCCTAAGACTCTCTTAAACCAGTTTAACGTATATCATTTATTATAAATTCTTCTTTTTTTTTCTATCATTTTCCTTAAAATTAATATAAAAACATTATAAAAATAAAAAAAAAAAACTCAAAAAACTCAAAAAAATATACTAAAAGTTTTATTTGTATAAATGATGATCAATTGATCATATGGTAGTATTACTTAACTTAATAGAAAATATGTAATTGCACCTTTTGCATACAGGTACTCCTGGGTGAGCTGGGCTTTTGCAATCTACATAATTCCATAGAGGTGAAGTTTTTTGAGAACTTCCTTCAGTACGTAATATGTTATCCAAAATGTCATTACTCTCCAAGTCAACAAAATCGAACGCATCATCTAAATTCATTGTGTAAGTTTGTACAATAAAAATTAAAATACCGTGTAATATATATACCAAATGTAAAAACCCTTTTTATTGGTTAAGACTCATTTAAGACTCGTTTAAGACTATCTCCTTATAAGTCCAAAAAATCGGACTTAAAGAGTTACATACTCAGTCCTAGGTCTGAGTCTTTAGGTCTGAAATAAGGACTTTATCAACCCTACTGGTGGTTCTACTGATGTTCTTATAAAAATGCTTAATGCGATTATCCATTAACATAAGTATGACTCTTCTGATGATCAGGAACTTTGGATTGTCTCTCAGGATATTTCTAAAGCATTTGATTCTATGGATCTTAATATGCTTAAATTAGCCCGCACTTTTGGTGCAATTTATTTTAAATCTTTTCATTAGGCAAAATAACAAGATTTTGACTTATCATGGTGATTCTTTTTTTTATCAAGTACATGTTGGTATTGATCAAGGAGTAATCATTTCACCTCTTCTTTAGGTTATCTATTTAGATCCTTTGCTTATGGTGTTGAATCAAGAAGCATGTGATCCTTTTGTGTTAAAATTTTTCTTTCATTTAAACAACATTCTTAAATAGAAGATTGCT